TTTCCTATACAATTTTCCATGTAGAATCCATATTTGAACTTAGATTTATCAAAATCCAACTTGTTCCTTCCTTTTTCAATTTGGCTAAATGGTTTCTTTAGGGTTCCAAAAATTTCATTTTCAATTTTAATATTTTCAAACACATGTTCTTCACATATTCCTCCACAGAATCACCTTCTAAATCTATTGGAAGCATTAAAACAACAAAAATCAAGCCCTAGGACAACATTCTCCCCTTGGCTAAATAGTATCCAATTTATGCACCACATGATATCTTTCAAATAACAAGGTTTAATCATCATTAAACAATCATTTCCTATCCTTCAATCCATATAACTACTTAATATCAATAATAAATAATCAAGAGCTCATTCGTGCAGCATCAACCCTTGGAGTTTTCAACCATTAAACTCTACCAAAACCAAGTTTAAAACTATCAATCCAAAGAGAATCAAACACTAGATAGAATAATCAAACTTTTACCTTGATTAGTGACTTGAAACACTTGCTTTCACCTTGATCTTTCTCTCCTCCTTCTCTTCTCCACTTGGCCAAAAAACTTCAGCTACTCAAGCTCCTCTTGTTGGCTAAAAAGGGTGATTGGTGAGGATAGGAAATAGTATATATAGAACTTACCATGGTAACTCATCTAGCCCTTGATTTTTCACCCAAGGACACTTGGCTCCATCTCTACTCTTCTTCCTCTTTAAGGCACCACATGCTCTCGTAGGTGTTCTCCAAATTAAATGAAGATGCCACCTTATGGGACACATAAATTGCTATGTGTAAAAATCCACACATTTTATTCAAAATTCTAATTTTCCGATTCTATCTCTCAACAAATCATCTTATTCCATCTAGGTCCTCACCCTCCATATATGATGCCATATATGTCAGAAAAATGGGGAAAATTTTGGCCCCACCAAGTTTATGGCTATTGCACTGTAATCAGTTAAAATTTTCACAAATCCTATTAAATTTAGTGTCTCCAAAAATTTATTTTCTTACGCCAATAACTTTGTTTTGATGAGAAGAGGTTCCTCTAATTTTCTTAGATTTTATTTTGGCCTATAACTCATTTAATTGAATTTTTCCTAAAATCGGCCATTTACTAATAAAATTTTCGACTTAGCATAATTCAAAGTTAACCTTTGCATCTAGAGGTTGGGAACAATTTTAAAATTCATAATAACCTTTCAAATAAATTTTCAAATTTTTTCATGAATTATTGAGGCCTCTATATATTTTAAATAATTCAATTTGGCCAATTTTCTTTTAATTAGCCAAAATTCTTTAAAAAATACAAAAAATTCTAAAATAAATTATTTTCATTTTATTTTTATCTTTTAGGCCTCAAATACTGTTATGCACCTTTTAGTCTATTTTTCATGATTTTTGGAGAATTTTCTAAGATTTCAAGTCTACATTCTCACGCTATTCAATATTGACATGATATTTTAAAAATGATAGTCCGGTCCTGGTCTAGTTTCAATTCAAAAGTTGTGTCATTTATCTGTTGGCTACCAAGCTTTACCCATAGTCTATTTTATTTATTCCTCATTTTCAGAGTTAAAATTAGGGAAAATGACATTGAGGTCCCACAGAACCAAAAATACAGCAAATAGGTCCCCTGAAATCCCATAATTTTTCTGAAGTCCCAAAGGGACTTAGATGCAATTTTCAGAATCTGGAAATTACCCTCTTACCCTGGCTTATGAGATTCGAAAATGCTAAAAGGAGATTAGAGCCTCTGTTTTTTGTTCGACCGGAAGAAAGTTGAAACCGTGTTGTGCCTTCGTGCTGCTGGAAATCCGGTGACAACCCACGCTGTGCTCAAATTCGCCTCACAACCCGCCGAAAATCGTGAGCCAAAGTGGTTGAATGCTCGTCGTGGTGGCTGTTTTGTTCGACCGAAGAAATTTGGATGGTCTCGGTGGCTTTGCGGTGCTGAAAAATTGGTGACAACCCACCGTGGTGCTCAAAATCGACTCACAACCCACCAAAAAATAGTGACCCAAAGTCGTTGAATGCTCGTCATGGTGGCATTTTTGTTGGACCGAAGAAATTCGAAATCATCTGGGTGCATTTGTCCTGCTAGAAATCCGGTCACAACCCACCGTGGTGCTCAAAACCCACTCACAAACCGCCGAAAATCCTGACTGAAGTCCTTGAATGCTGGTCGTGGTGGCTCTGTTCATGGGTGTCTAAAGCAAAGTGGAGCTCGTCCTGGTGTTTGAAGCAGAGGTCATCCTTGTGGTTGCGTTCTTCAGCGTTTGAAGGGAGGTGGAGCTCATCCTGGTTGCTGCGTTGTTCGGCGTTTGAAGCAGAGGTGTTATTCTCAGAATTTACTTTCACAGACAAGCATTGTCGACAGTAGAGAAGGTAAACACGTATGAATCAGAAAAACCATAGCTTGTTTGTTGTTGCGTTTGATCATTGCTCAATATTTGCATCAAATTTTGGAATATTTGGTCTTAGCAAAACCTGAGAAGATTAGTTTAGCAATTAGTAAGTTTCTTGGGATTGTTAAAGTTACAAAAATGAGCCTGAATAGTTGATATGCCTTGCTTGGAGTTCAAAGTATTTGTGAAGATTGTATGCTCTGTAGTGGTTACTATATTCCTTTGTGGGGATTTCTATTTCCATATTGATGATTGCGTCTGAAATATGCATTATGCAGCCATCCAAATGCATCATTATTTTGGTATATCTTTCTAGAAGTAGTGTGAGAAGTTTGCTCTGCTGTGAAAGAGTTTGGGTTAAGGATTTGAGCAAAGTTGCCAGAAAGTTTGTATATTTATCACAAATCTCATATAAATGAATGGATTTGTGCCAACAAGAACAATTGGAAAGAAATGTCCCTTTTTGCTGTTATGATGTTCATGAGTAGTACTAAGTGATTGATTTCATGCAACCAAGCCTAAAGCTTCCTCACATGTTTAAAGACACCATTCCAACAATGTGTAATTAATACTGAATGCTAATTATAGTAATAGTGAAATCAGATTTTTAATGAAGAAGAACAGGAACGTTTGGTGTAAGTGCATGAAGGGTTTGATGTAATCTGTATATGATTTGAAACAAGAAGCAAAACAAAAAAGCAGGAAAATAATTACTTGATTTTTATTTGATCATATCTTTGAATGTAGCAAGAAATAATTTTGGCATGATTGATGGTTTTATTTATAGGAATGGATTTTCTTTTCTATATCTAGGAAGCTTTGCATCTCTGCAAAAGTTGAGTAGGAATCTAAGAAGAATTGAAGTTCATTGTATTGGTCTTGTTTTGTAGGTTAAGAAGATAGGGAAGGATAGAACCAACAAAAGTGGACAAAGAGGCTGTAATTTTTCTGGTTATGCCTTGTTTACAGAGGAATTCCATAAGAAAAGCTCGAGAAAGTACGAATCACTTGAATCCAGGAATCAGCATGTGAGAAATGCTTGGGACAAATTATCTGAGCAACAAAAAGAGGAATATTGTAAAAGGGCCAAGGAACAAAGAGCTCCCACAAAGTCCAAAAAGTATATAGTTCCTTTCTACACAAGATGTGCACCTAAACAGTTCATCCAAGTTTGCAAGCATATCAAAGAAAGGAAGGAACTAATGGACAGGCTAAAAAAGATAGGTTTTGATAAGTTGATTGAAGTATGTTGCCACACAATTCAAAGAGAATTGTATGGAGAGTTTATGTGTGCATTCGACCTTCCAACAAAAAGCATTTCCATAAGAGGGAAGAGAAGGAAAATGAGGGCAAATGATGTGCATGACTTTATGGGGTTGCCAATAAAGGGAGAAGAGATTAAAGTAGCTGTGAGTAGTGAAGATGAAGTGTTCAAGCAATGGAGGGTTGTGTATGGTAATATTCCATACAAGAAGATAGCGTCATTGTTGACTGAGGACAAACAAGATGAAAATTTTGAGATGCTGTTTGTCATGTATGCATTGGGAACATTGTTGTGTCCTAATGCCAGTATTTGTGTCACTGATTATTTGTTGAAAGTCATACTATCAACCAAGGATAGATTGGGTCAGTTTGATTGGTTATCTTATGTGCTGAATGAACTATACAAGGGCATTGGAGTGTACAAAAAACAATTAGAAAAAGGCAAGTTGACTGAAAAGAAGAAGAATGTGCCAGGTTGTCTATACTTCCTACAAGTAAGTGCTATTATAATTTGTATATTTCTGTTATCATTTCATTTTATGGTCTGAATGTTGTCAATGGCTGCTGTTAACTTATCATTCATGTGACATGCAGATGTATTGTCTACAAAAGTTTCCACTGGGGGAAAGAAAAGCTGTTGAGCATGCTCTTGCATTTTGGGATGAAAAGAAAGTGCAGCAAAGAGTTAATATGGAGAAGGGGAGCGATCAAGGAATATTGCATCCGGCTAGTCAAGCCATCAGTTTTGATCCAGAAAATTTAACTCACCCGGTATGTGGACTTGGAGGCTTAATGTACATTTTTTTTTTCTGTTGCTTACATATTAAAGTTCTGAATTTCACTTGTATAGGAGATCAAGAAAACATATGCCCGATTAGTGTCAATGCTGGGAGAGGAGATGATGGCCCTTCAGTCAAGACTAATGAAGGATAGTGGCAGTGCAAGTGAAGAGGAGAAAGATGATGATGAAGAATCTAAATCAGAAGAGAAAAAAGGGTTCAAAGGAAGTGAATCGGAGGAAGAGGAAATTGAGGAAGAAGGAACTGAATCGGAAGAGGATAGAAATGAAGAAGAAGAACAAAAAACTCAATCAGAAAAGGAGATGGGTGGAGAAGAAAGTGAAAGAGAAGAAGAGAATGAAGAGGTGAAAGAGCTAGAAGAGGACAAGAAGAGGAAGAACAAAAAAGAAGAGAAGAAGAGGATGAAGAGGACAAAGGAGAAGAAGAAGACAAAGAAGATGAAGAAGGAAATGCAGGAGAAGAAGAGAATGAAGAGGATGAAGAGGACAAGCAAGGGGAAGGGAAAAAATATGTGAAGAAATCAACAAGGGTCATAAGCAAGGGCAAGGCTCTTAGGTCTCCATTTCTGGAAATCAAAACTAAGCCTGGGAAAAAGAGAACAATGGATGATAGGCAAGCTTTATTTGACATGTGTACAGCAAGGTGTGATGAAGAGGACCAAAAGCAGTAAGTATTATGTTTTGGTGTCCAAATTTATATTATGTTACAGAATTTACTGACTTCATAATTGTTTTATTTACATTAGATACTTTGTATCGATGTATGGATACTTTCTAACCCGTGGTGAGCTGCAATGTCTCCAACGTAGAAGATGGATAAACGATAGGGTAAGTTACATGTATATAGTTAACATTAGAATGAGTTATTTGATGGTAAAGAGTTGTAATTTCTTTATATTGTCATTTCAGTTTATGACTATGGTGGCAAAGACATTTGTTGGAGATTAAAAGGATAAAGAGGGGAGAGTGAACCGGCATATATTTTCTGCAGATTTCATGCAAAAGATGGTAGCCAATCCTTTAAGATGGAAATGGGAGGACCATGAAAGGGAAATATTACCTAAATATATTGGGTACAATATAGGGGATTGCGATTTCCTTTTCGGTCCTACGTTATTTGAAGATCATTGGTTTTGTTATGTGTTGGAGACAAAGACCATGACCTTCTACGCCTTTGACTCCTTGGTTGATAGCATCACATTCATGAGATTACAAGCAGAGGAAGAAGAAGCAAAGAAGAAAAAGAGGACGACTAAAGGGCACTTCAATCCCAAACACTTTATGGCAACACAGACTGTGTGTATTTATTTACTGCTATTATACTTGTCAATGACTACTCTTATAGTTGTCACTAGCAGCCTACGTAGTTGTCATTGCATGCTCTGTTAGTTGTCACTAGATGCTGTGTTAGTTGTCACTGGATGCTGTGTTAGTTGTTATCACGTGCCTTGCTAGTTGTCACTGGATGCTGTGTTAGTTGTCATCACATGCTCTGTTAGTTGTTAGTGGATGCTTAGTTGACTAGATGCTGTGTTAGTTGTCACTACATGCTGTGTTAGTTGTCACTGCATGCTCTGTTAGTTGTCACTGCATGCTCTGTTAGTTGTCACTGGATGCTGTTACTTGTCACTGGATGCTCTGTCATTTCTCACTGGATGCTCTGTCATTTGTCAGTGGATGCTCTGTTAGTTGTTAGTGGATGCTGTTTTTTGTTACTGGATGCTCTATCCCTTGTCACTGGATGCTGTGTTACTTGTCACAATATGCTCTGTCCCTTGTCACTGGATGCTGTGTTGTTAGTAAAACCTTTTGATTATGTGTTTTTTTTTTTGCAGATGAACTGTTTCCATACGATGTTGCGTGCTGTTAAGCTAGAATTGTTTGCCAATGAGGACAACATTGGCAACGAAGTGAAATGGGCTAAAGTTTATGTGCAGAATGATACGTGAGTGTAGTTGTTCTTTTTGATTGTGTTATGTTGTGTTTGTTCACAATAAAAATTGCATGCTGTTTACATATTGAATTTGCTTAGCAGTGATTCATGTGGAGTTTATGTCCTCTCTTGGCTACAAGAGTGGGATGGCACTGTTCGTGATGCTGTAGGATATACCATGCCACGATACTCCAATGATGAATTGCAAGAGTTGCAGGTTGGCTGTTTGTGGTGGTTGGTTACCCATCCACAAAATGAACATAGGGATAGAGTGATGTCAATACTATCGGACTTCAACAAGAGCAAGAGGAGGAGATAGAGGAGTCCATTAATTTTTTGTTCTGTTATGCCAGGATGTGTTATGAGATGATTGGCACCTAAGGGTGTGAGTCATGAGTGGCAATAACTTAATGGTCAATAGGTCTTTTTGTAACAAACTGATCAAATTATGTTTATAATATTATTATCTTTGTTATCAGATGTTATGATACCAATTTCTTGGGGACAACTCACATTTTTATTTTTGTTGTTTTATATCTTTATTGATATCGACAAATTTATGTAATATTAATAAGTAATATAATATGAGTTAATGACAAGTGATATAACAATTTCATAACAAATGAATATGTGGATATTAACAGTTGATATTCAAAATTTTTACAACTGAAGGTGTTATTTATTTATAATGTTAAGTAATATTTATATTAAAATATAATTAATCAGAAGGTGTTACTCAGAGTTATGTTCAATTAACAAGTCACTCTGCTCTATTGGCAAGTCACAGTGCTCCATTGGCAAGTCACAGTGCCACCATTGATAAGTCACGGTGCGACGATTGACAAGTCATCTTGCCACCAATGACAAGTTCGTGTGCCACCATTGACAAGTCATAGTGCCACCAACGACAAGTCAGTGTGCCACCATTGGCAAGTCACAGTGCCACTATTGACAAGTCACATTGCCACCAATGACAAGTCCGTGTGCCACCATTGACAAGTCATGGTGCCACCAACGACAAGTTAGTGTGCCACCATTGGCAAGTCACACTGCCACCATTGACAAGTCATAGTGCCACCAACAAGAAGTCAGTGTACCATCATTGACAAGTCACAGTGCCACCATTGACAAGTCACAGCGCCACCATTAACAAGTCTTAGTGCCATGATTGACAAGTCACTATGCCACCATTGACAAGTCACAGTGCCACCATTGACACTTCATTAATAATGATTATATATGACAAATAACCAAAAATATAATATGACAGAGTGATTGAAAATATCATATGTTACTAAAGCAAGTTATGTAACTTGAATTCATATTGTTGACAACTTACATCAGCAAATTAATTGACAAGTGACAGTGCTCTATTGATAAGTCATAACAGGTCTAATGACAATACAGGGTGCAGGTAATGACAACTTAAATGACAGCAGAATCTAACATGCCAATTCATAGTCAACTTTCATTTACACCTTCATATATATGAAACTACACCTATTTCACAACCCATCCTAAAAAAACACAGGGGTTGCATGTAATTATGAGAAACTAACTATTGGTGTGTATCCATTTACAAAAAATTCCCTTCACACCCATTTACAAAATATTCCCTTCACATTCATATACAAAAAATAGCTGATTTCATTATGTTTTCAGCTGAGATTTGGGTCCTTGCATGTCTTGACAGTGTGTCCAGGCTCTTTGCATCTTTCACAATGATAAACCTTCTTATTTTGGATGTTTTCCAGACGTACTCGCCATCAGTAATTTAAACCTACATCAAGAAGCACGCAACTATCATTGACAACTTTCGCGGCACGCTTTAACAACTATCGCGGCATGATTGACAACACAATCCCATTTCGTGCTAAGGGTTTCTACCCTTACTAACCTTCATCTTTTTCTTCCTTTGCCATTAAACTAACGTCAGAACAGAGGAAAACCACCCAAAAACAACCCAAAAACAGAACACCCATTATCATTCTACACACCCAACTTAAATCACAACACACACCAACCAAAAACACAACTTTTCCATTCATTAACTTCTGAATCCTAAACCAAAAACAAAAGCTTTGAAATACCAAAGGCAAAAACGATTTTTTCATTTCCCATTCCCAAACCAATGCACAATCTGTCAAGAAAGGTAGGAGAGGAGAGAAAAAAAAGTTCCACACCTGAAGATTTGTCATATTCCTAGCATTTACAGAAGCTTCAACATCTTCTTCACCCATGGAAATCCTCGCATTTACAGAAGCTTCACCATGATAATTTTGCGCAGGAAATCCTCACCAAATGAACTTCTCCCGTCACTTTTTCTGATAACAGGGCCAGGGCAAGAGGGTAATTTCCAGATTCTGAAAACTGCATCCAAGTCCCTTTGGGACTTCAAAAAAATTATGGGATTTTAGGGGACCTATTTGCTGTATTTTTGGTTCTGTGGGACCTCAATGTCATTTTCCTTAAAATTAATAGGATGTGATAGGAGCTCTCAAGCCTGATTAATGCTGTATAAACCAGAGATACTACCATTAAAAGCCCAAGGAGACATAGAGAAAGACAAACAATAACACAAAGACGGACATCTCCTTCCTTAGCCGAAGCCGAGGAGGAAGATTCCGTGAAAACCGCTTGCCCAAGTGATAAGAGAAGAGCTCCCGCCACCTCAAAAGAGGCAAGAGAGGAAGGGAGAAAGGAGTTGCGTTTTGTGGGACAGACTCGTTAGTGCTTGTTATTGAGCCTGATATAAATCAGCTTGGAGCATTGATGTATTGGACTCAGTGTAGCTAGCAAATATATCATATGAAAGCATGTTCCCATGTCCGCCTCATCATTTCCAAATTTCACACGCACGGGACCAGCAATGAAGTAACCATGACACTCCCTCCGGTCTATAATATAAAATATTAGTTAGACTTTCTTACAAATTGAAAAATATTAGTTAAGTCATTACATGTGTTTTTAATTCTTGTGATGCCAATTTCATTAGATACCTTACAGCTAAAATCCTTCTCTTTTTTCCAGTCTAGTTCCTCCACCACTACAAACTCCAATTTTAAATCAATAAAAATTGCATATTTTTTCTTATTAAAAAAGATGATTGGAAATTCTTTCCTCTCTCTTCTGATCGTAACAAGGGAGAGAAAAAGGAAAATCATTAATTATCTTGTTAATTTTTTATATTTTGGATCCAAATATTTTTCTAAAAAAGCTCTCATGAACCAAGAATACATATGAAGGCCCTCAGTCGTTTACCCATTGAATCTATTGTGGATCAGGAATACATGTATGCATCTTTGGACGTTGCCACATCACACGTAGGGAAGGATGCTAGGGCATAGGTGGCATGCTTAGAGGGCTACAAGTTGTCTTGCAATAAGTTGGACTTACTCTAACAGTTGATTTAATGAGAATGGTTCCTCATTGATGCCTAAAACATACTTTTCCGGTTTAATATGAGACCTAATTATTAAAGTGATTTTAGTCCTAAATGTAAAACCTAGTTATTGTATTTATCAATTTTTTTAAAATTATCTCTATTGATACTCCTTCAACTATAATCAAATAAGAGAAGGAGGTAGGATATTGAGAAAGTTAATTATAGTGTTTTACGAAAAATATATCATATTTTTTTATAAGGGATAATTAATATGTAAGTCCTTATAATTTTAACTGGTTTTTAATTAGGTCCCTATAATTTTTTTTTTATCAGGTCCTTATACTTTCACTTATTTCTAATCAGGTCCTTATTGTTTACTTTGTTTTCAATTAGGTCCTTATAGTTTTTATTCTTTATTTTATAAATAATAACATTTTAAAAATAATAAATTATTGTAACAATCTTATGTTAATATTCTTTTAAATTTTTAGTTAAACAAATATATTATTTATTTTTATTCTAATTTTTATAATGATAAAATTCAAATTATAATAATAAAATTTTCTAAAATTAAAATACATTTATAAATAATTTATATTTAAGTATAATTATTATTCTGATTATTTATTAATTACTAAATGATTATATTAATTATTTTTTCCAATTATATAATTATTAATTTAAAAAATAAAATTAATTTTAAAGAATAAAATTAATAAATAATTTTTTAAAAACTACAAAGGACTAATTTTAAAGAATAAAATTAATAAATAATTTTTTAAAAACTACAAAAGACCTAATTAAAAAATAAGTGAAACTATAAAGACCTGATAAAAAGAAAAAAATAGAGGAACTTAATTAAAAACACATAACAGTAAAAGAACTTGATAAGAAGAAAAATTTTTAAAAGGACCTAATTAAAAGTCAGGTGAAACTATAAGGACCCAGAGATTAATTATCTTTTGTTTTATAATTAAGGGATAATTAATATATAAGTCCTTATAGTTTCAACTGGTTTTTAATCAGGTCCCTATAATTTTTTTTCTTTTTATCAGGTCCTTATGCTTTCATATATTTTTAATCAAGTCCTTATAATTTTTTCTTCTTTTTATCATGTTCTTATTGTTTTACTTTATTTTTAATTAGGTCTTTGTAGTTTTTTATTCTTTATTTTACAAATAATAACATTTTAAAAATAATAAATTATTGTAACAATCTTATGTTAATATTCTTTTAAAATTTTAGTTAAACAAATATATTATTTATTTTCAATTCTAATTTTTATAATTATAAAATTCAAATTATAATAATAAATTTTTCTAAAATTAAAATATGATTATAAATAATTTATATTTAAGTATAATTATTATTCTGATATTAATTACTACATGATTATATTAATTATTTTTTTCCAATTATATAATTATTAATTTAAAAATGAAATTAATTTTAAAGAATAAATTTAATAAATAATTTTTTAAAAACTACAAAGCACCTAATTAAAAAATAAGTGAAACTATAAGGACCTGATAAAAAGAAAAAAAAATAGAGGGTCTAATTAAAAACACACGAAAGTAAAAGGATCTGATAAAAAGAAAAAATTTTATAAGGACCTAATTAAAAATCAGATGAAACTATAAGGACCGGGAGATTAATTATCCCTATAATTAACTAACTTACCTAATTTTCTTAATGTAATCAAATTAGTTAAATATGTTTTATATCAAGAATAAGATGAGTATAAAGAACAAAAAGTAACAAGATATTAAAATGATATTATGATTTTTTTTTGTATTTCAGAAAAAATTTATTTCTTTTACATTATTAACTATTTTTTATTTTTAAAAACAAAATAATTTTTTTTTTAAAACAATCATGTTATGCTTATTTTTACCTAATTCTTAAAGGCCATTTTTGTCATTCAAGAGCCGAAAGTGTTTCCTGTTTCCACCACCTTCGTACTTTGATGCTTTCTTGTGCCCCCGTCTTGCAGCGATACACAATACTCTGGAGCATCTGCTTCCTGCCCCGAAGGTACTGCTCCATGCGCGTTTCTCTCCGTTGTCATTTTAGCTTTGTTGTAATTGGTGGTCAAAATTGTTGCCGTTGTTTAGATCAACGTGGTATTTAGTCGCGAGTTCCTTCTCTGGTTTTGGTTATGACTTATGATCACAGGTAGTCGCATGTTTTTTTGGGATTGTTGATCGTTTTCTGAGTTTAGTTTATTGGTTGATTTTCAATTGATATGAAAATCGTCTCCCCCCCTTTTGGGTCAATTCTCCCCTTCATATCAAATGGGATTGATTTGACTGATATTCCTCCTCCCCGAATATTTCATGTTTAAGGTGCTCACTCTGATCGTATTGATTTTTCTTTTTCTCTGAACTTCTTTTTCTGTTAATCCAAATAACATGGAATACACTAGGAGATAATGACGTTAACTTCTCCTACTATTATTATTTTTAAATTTTAAACTTTGCTCTCATTTTATCTTCATGTTTGATTTGTTCAGTTTCTTTGTCTGTCTGTTGATTATTATACTTAAGTATTTGATTTTTTTAATTCGAAATCACCAGAAATATGTTTGTGTCTTTTGTTTTTATCTTAAATGTGGAAACTATGCGGTCTTCCTTATGCTATGCTCGCTAAGAGAGCCAGAGTAAAGACATATATACAAAAGAATATAAATAAGTAAACAGGAAAGAATGGAAAGCGCTCACCTCGCAAACTAGTTAAGTACTCCCCTTGTCCCTTTTTATAAGAAACAAAACCTCTCATAGTGGTGTCCTCAAATATAAGAAACAAATTCTCTTTATCCGAAATTTTAAACTAGTCTTTTCACTTTTACCCTCATTAAATATATGTTACTTATCATCTCTTTGTAATAAATGTTCACTCATTATCTCTCATGTATTCTCTTTACAAATAAGAGTATAATTGGAAAAATATGTATATATCTTACCCACCCATTTATTTTTTTAACTAAATTTAATTAATATTTTGAACTGCATGGTTTTGGTAGTTTTATTTCTTATAATAAGGGATAGCAGAGTGTTAGTTATTTTAACTGTAAGTTTGCTTTGAAGTTCAAAAAATCTGGAATGTGAAAGGGTATGTAAAAGTGTCTGCCAATTGTTCTGAAGAGGGAATATAGTGAATAAGCAACTGTTTGGCTAGAACTTGTGCATAATGAATGTGTAGTTTTATGTGTTTGGTATGAGCACAGAACACTAGATTAGCCGCCAAGGCTGCAACTTCAAGATTGTCTTGCCAAAGGGCAAGTGTACTCCTATTCTTGACTTTATTTTTCAAAAGCAATGATTGGATCCCTGCCGCTAGAAGTGCCAAAGATTTGTACTGTAATTCAATACTGGATTTAGCTATAACTCTTTGCTTTTTAGAAGCCCAATTCATCAATGTATTGATAGGCAAAACAATTTTCGAGTCACAGAGTTCTATTCCTTTTGCAATAATAGATAAATAATATTACAACATATACATGCTATACTCACTATGAGATGCATGGCACAACAAAAACAACATATATACTAAAGAATGTAAGTAAATAGGAAAAATGCAAAAAGAACATCTTGCAAAAGAGCCACTTAGTTATCTTGACTCATAGACTTGTGTTTCATTGTTTTTATTTTGTTCCAAAAAGGGTTACAACATTTAATTTCAATAGGGGATAATTGATGTGATGCCTTTTTTTTGTGGGCCAGTTGATGATCTTTACTTTTTCCTTGTAATTTAGGTATTAAGTTTGTGTTCTGATTAATAAGGATCGTTATATCAACGATAGGCAATGGAGGATCAGGGAGATAGTTCCTTGAATTTATTCAACAACTTGTCTATTTGGAAAGATTATGGAGAATATGGGGTTGTGAGTGCTATAGTTATTGGTATACTTATACCTGTCTTGCTTTCGGCATTGTTCATGGGAAAGAAGAGAGGAAAAGTAAGAGGTGTTCCAGTAGAGGTCAGCGGTGAGCCAGGATATGCAGTACGTAATGCTCAAAGGGTAGATTTAGTTGAAGTTCCTTGGGAAGGAGCTACAACCATGGCTCATCTATTTGAGCAGTCATGTAAGAAATACTCCAAAAGGCGATTTCTTGGGACAAGGAATATAATTGAAAAGAAGTTAGTTCCATCACATGATGGTAGACAGTTTGAGACACTCCATTTAGGCAATTATGAATGGCAAACTTATGAAGAGGTATTTGCTCGTGTGTGCAACTTTGCATCTGGGCTTATTAGATTTGCTGATAACAAAGATAGTCGTGTTGCCATTTTCTCTGATACTCGGTCTGAGTGGCTCATTGCTCTTCAGGTTGGTTTGCTCTTTTGTCTTCATTTCATTGTGTCTTCTCATTTTGTTATTGATTGTTTCTGCATTCAAGCATCTTAATTTAGTTTGGCTTAATTGCAGGGTTGCTTTAGGCAGAATATAACAGTTGTTACTATTTATGCTTCTCTAGGGGAGGATGCCCTGATCCACTCACTTAATGAGGTAAGAAAATGGCTGCAATTATATAACTAGAGGAAACAAATGTATTTCAAACAGATAAGATCCAAAGTTGGGTTGGAGGTACTCACTTGAAGCTTTGGAATGTCAACAGACTCAAGTATCCACCCTCATCTGTGACGCCAAGCAGTTGAAGAAGTTAGATGCTATAAGCTCAAACCTAACGTTTATCCAGAGTGTGATTTATTTTGAAGATGATGACTCATTGAATAATGATGCTTTAGGAGATTTGAGAAAGTGGACAATTGCGTCTTTTGGTGATGTTGAGAAACTTGGGAAAGAAGGTCCTATTCCGCCAAACTTACCTTCTAAGGAAAATATTGGACTTGTCATGTATACAAGTGGCAGTACAGGTCTACCAAAGGTTTGTAACTTCATTTTGTTTTCGGTGAACACCTATATACTATTGAATACCTTTTGTACTCTGTTGATGTACAGTAATCTGGGTTGTTTAGCTATTTTTCTGGGTCTAATTGATGGTAAAATTATGAATAAAGAGTCCTTTTAAGTTCAAGTCTTTATTCCTATGGATTTAATCTTAATTAGAACCTCCAATAGTTATTACATGCACGAGGGTTTCTACATATGATTGTTAGTCTAGCAATTAACCAAATAACATGCAAAGTTACTTTTGAGACAACCATCAAATTCTAGACAAGTTTTATACTCTTCTTGAGTAATTCCTCAATAACCTGTCTCGGAAAATTAAGGAAATAATTTCCATGCTCAAAAAAGTGCTAAAAGTTTCCAGAATCAAAGTTCTGTGTCCTCTAAAAAGAATTCTATATAATAAAAATTAAGACTACACAATTTTTATTCTTATTAAATAGAGTAGAAGTTCTGTATCATTTTTTACTCTATCTTGTGGTTTTCATTTCAAATGGGAACCTAAACAACAAGTCTTCTCCCATTATGTGAGGTTGTTTACATGAATTGCACAACGCTTTTGTATTTTATCAGCTATCAATTCCTAAGATATACCATCCACTAAAAGGTCTTTGGATAGTAACCTTGATAGTTGGTTTTGATCTTTCTCTACCTGTCTGCCTTTTTATATTACTAGACCATATGTTCACCCCTCCTAATTGGTGCCTCCTCTTTATACATGTCCAAGTTACCTTAAATGATCTATACCATCTTTTCCTTGACAGATGTCATGCCAACTCTTTCGCATATGTGATCATTACAAATCTAATCTTCTTCTTGTTTTTTTTTTTTTTAAATGACCACGTCCATCATGATATCTTCATCCTTGCTATCCTAATTTTTTGCTTTTGTTTCCCTTTCATGTCTAACATTTATTACCATATAGTATTGCTGGTCTTATAAAAATTCGATAAAACTTTGACAAAACTTCCCTTTAATTGTAGTTGGTATTTTCTGATTACAAATAACTCTTGATGCTTTTCTCCATTTTAACCACTCAACTTGTATTTATGCATAACATTTCCATCAATTTCACTGCCATTCTGTATGATTGATATCATATATTTGAACTTTTGACACTTGAGGTATGATTTGATTTTCATAAATTATATTGTTTGAGTGTTAGCTTGTAAGAAGAATGAATGATTACTTTGGAATTTTCAAAACCCTTGGCAAGAAAAGCATTTTCTCATATGAGGCTCGAGGACCTTGCTTCAAGCCATACAAAGCTTTATGCTAGTTATACACATGGCCATCTGCTTCATCCTTCAGTTCTCTCCATCATGATATTGGTGTATACCTTCTAAGCAACTTGAAACAATACCTCCTTCAAGTTGCAGGACCATTGTTGCTGTGGGTCTCTTGTGGTCATGGGATTTTGCTGCTGTCTTCTATGTTTCTTTCACCACCTCCTCTGCATGTCTCCTCATCACTACATATCCTATTCTACCCCTTATTGTCGACCTCTCTTTTGTTGATGTTGTATGTTTCTTGTAGCCATGGGTTGTCCTTGCCATCCGTTCTTGATTTTCTGTCAATTTCTATGCCTGTCCTTGATGTTCATTCATCATCACCATGTTCTATATCTCTGGTATTGTTTTTTGCTGGTTCTTGGGCTCATGAGGTTTCACTAGCTGAGAGTTATAATTCCTCATTTCTTTCCTACCTACTTGTTTGCTTTGCTGTGGTACAGAGAGGATCAATTATGATGCTTATTGGGCCTGCTTGGGTGCAAATTTTACCATACTTGACCCTTAAGGGCAACAGTCTTTGGGGAGGGGTTATTGTTATGTAATAAATAAATAGAGGGAGTTGATTAAGGGGTAATCAATAGTCATGATTTGTCAGTTAGCTAAGTTCTATGGTATTGGATTATATAAATAGATGGGTGAGTTAGTATGTGAAGAAACTTTTGAATAGCGAAAATTTGAGTGTTATGTTTTCCTAGTCTCTCCCTTCCTTTTGTCCTTCCCTTCTTTCTAGTCCTCTTTGTTTCCCTTTCTCTTGTAACGTTCTTGTACATCACGATTACGAGGTAACATGACACACAGAAAGAGTAGCGTGGTCACAAAATGCAAATAAAACAACTAAAACATTTCTCACGTTCACCTATTCCCTCCCTATGAGAAAATCCTTGTTCTTAAGGAGTTGGGGGTGGTGCATGAGTATCAAAATCAAGACACTGATGTCTCAAAAATTGTTTTCATTTCCTACCATGTTTTTAATTGTTTGTAACCATGTAGGGAGTCATGATTACTCATGGAAATGTTGTAGCGACTACAGCAGCTGTTATACCAATTATTCCAAATCTTGGGACAAAGGATGTGTACATGGCATACTTGCCCCTTGCTCATGTTTTTGAATTGGCTGCAGAGGTAGTTAATTTCTTTTTAGCTCCATAACTGTCTAAAAAAAGTTGCAACATTGCTTCTAAATTATTATGGTTGTCCAGTCTGTGATGCTAGCTGCTGGTGCTGCTATTGGTTATAGCTCTCCATTGACTTTGACGGACACATCTAGTAAAATTAAGAAAGGAACCAAAGGAGATGCGACTGTGTTGAAGCCCACACTTTTAACTTCAGTACCAGCTATTCTTGATCGTATTCGAGATGGAGTTATGAAAAAGGTGTTGATTTGATAGTCACTGTTCACTAGCTTTGTTTTTCTGCATTTCATATTCATAGCTTTCTAACAGTGTTGGAGTTATTATTCCCCTTACTATGATGGACTTAAGGTTGAGGAAAAAGAAGGGCTTGTGAAGACTCTTTTTCAGATTGCATACAAGCGTCGACTTGCTGCTTTAAAAGGAAGCTGGCTGGGAGCTTGGGGATTGGAGAAACTGTTGTGGGACCTCATTGTCTTCAAAAAGATTCGTGCCCTGCTTGGAGGTGAAATTCGGATGATGCTTTGCGGTGGAGCCCCTCTATCTGCAGATTCACAGCAGTTTATTAATATATGCATGGGGTAATGGCTTTAATTTTCCTCCCTTAAATGTACCTCCTAATACTTGGAAGGAATGCAACTCATCTTTTTGCGTTCGAATACCTAATGTGTGACTTTGTGTGCGTCATTTCCCTGATTTGATCTTTTCATTTTATTTATACCAAATATTGGCTTATGATTTGTAAAGGATGAACAAGGATTTCTATATGAAAACATTTTAAGGAGTAAGTTGGAGGACAATCCAGGGATATTGCTGTGCTCATATTAGGAGTTAATTCTTTGTGTATTTTGTGATGCAAAATATGGCTTGTATTATTCAGAATGGGCACCAGAATAAATAGCTATATAGGGGCAGTCAAGGGTGACGAGGTCACGGCCTTCTAGGGTTCAGCTGAGATTTTAGGCATACAATCAGATTCAAATTTCGAAATACAAAATATTACCTAATAGAATTAATATCTACAAGACTCTCTACAGTTAGTGGCAGCTAGTAAACTAGGTTAACTAGTAAAGAGACTAGATTAGGGTTTCACGCTCAAGGCCCATTCACGAACACTCCCTCTCTGGCAAGTAGATGTCCAACATGCCTGCTTGCTTCTGAAGAATTCAAACTTGGGCCTGTCTAATGGCTTTGCGAGAACATCCGCCACTTCATGACTAGAGCTTATGTGAGAGAGATCAATTTCCTTTGACACTATCTTTTCTTTGATAAAATGTCTATCGGTATCCACATGCTTCATTCTTTCATGATGTACTAGATTATAAACCATCTGAAGCACTGAGATGCTATCACACTACATCTTAATTGATGGAATTTCTCCAATGCCAAGTTTTTTAAGTACTCTGGTTACGCACAAACATTCACATACTCTATCTGCAAGTGCTCTTGACTTAGCCTTCACACTACTTTTGGATGCAACAGTTTGTTTCTTACCCCTCGAGGTCACAAGGTTACCCCATACAAAGGTGAAATAGCCTCCTGTAGATCTCTTATCAACTTTAGTTCTGGCATGGCCTGCATCAGTGTAGATAGTCATGTCTCCGGATTCCCTTTTTTGAAAGAAGAGGCCTCTTCTAGGTGTCATCTTCAAGTACCTCAACAACAACAACAAGCCTTATCCCACTTGGTGTGGTTGGCTTCATGAATCACACGATGCCATTGTGCTCTATCAACAAGCTTTATCTTCAAGTACCTCAGTCTTGTGTAAATTGCCTCTATATGGTGCTCTTGTGGTCCATTTGAGAATTGATTGACTATGCCTATTGCATGGCTTATATCAGGCCTTGTATGAGATAGGTAGATGAGTTTTCCAACTAGACTTATGTCTTTCTGCATCTACTAGTAGTCCATCCTTTTTGTACCGTAGATCATTTGATGAATCCATGGGCATTGGTGAAGGCTTAGCTCCTAGCATACATGTCTCATTGAGTAAATTAAGTGTATAATTTCTTTGAGAAACTGAGATCCTTTTTTTTTTGATCTTGCAACCTCCGTGCTTGGAAAGTATCTCAGACTGCCTAGATTTATCTCAAAAGCAGTTGCCAAGGACCTTTTGAGTTGCTCAATCCCTTTAACATCATTTCCTGTGACAACTATATCATCAACATATACGATTAAAATAGAGAGTGTGTCACTGGCTTGGCATTGTATGTATCCTGAGCTTTTCACCACCGTGGTAGATCTCTCAAAGCAGGCTCTTGGTGATTGTTTCAAACCGTAGAGTGATTTATGCAATCTACAGGTCACACCTGGTTCTTTGTACTCTGCAAGTCCCTGAGGAAAATTTATGTATACCTCTTCCTCAAGATCGCCATTTAAAAAGGCATTCTTCACATCAAGCTGATGAAATGGCTGGTCGAGATTGGCAGCCAAAGATAGTACTGTTCGTAAAGGGGAATAGCATTTGTACCCCTTTTTGGGATGAGGAGCTGTAACAAGATGTCCTATAGTTTTGCTGACAGTGACTCTTTCCATAGAAATTATTGGTAACAATAATTGAGCAGAAATAGATTTTCCAAGAAAACCACCAACTGATTAGTCCATCAATTCTGTCACTATATTCCACCTGTCTGAAATAATGGACCAGACATAAAATTATAACAGTCTGATAGATGGCCAAGGATGCTCCGGATTATTCACTAGCCTCAGTTAGCATCTTAAGAACAGCAGAAATAGCTTAAGTGTTGTTATGGTGAGCAACTGCAAACCTCTCCCCTTCAGTAGCTTGGACCTTGAACATCATTATTAGGGCCGCTGAACCAGCAATTTTGATAGCCCATGCACTGATCTCCAGCCCAAGCACCTTTTTCCTTTGGCTCGAATCACATCACCTTCTTGTGTGCTCATTAGGTGTTTTTGGTGCATGTAATGCAAGTGTGCGTCAATGCTAAAAGGATTGATTCCCCTGTACATGTGCATATTGACCGACTGTGACTTGCTAGACATCAGTTACATGGGGCTGTGAATAGGGTTGAAGCAAATGGCAGACTCACATCTTATGGATGGAGAATTTTAAGTGGGGCAATGGATTTTCCTCAACTTCAACCATATAGACAGATCTTTGCAGCGTCTGGGAGCTCTCAAAAATTGGCTTCAAGATATTTTGGGCCATATAGACTCTTGCAAAAGGTGGGTTCAGTTGCCTACAAGTTAGAATTACCACCAGATTCAAGGCTGTATTCTACATTCTACATATCCTTGTTGAAGTTGTGCCCTGATCCAACAGTAAAGCAGCATCACCCTCCCATTGATTGGCCAGACCCACTTCAGCATTTGAAACTAGGGAAGATGTGAATAACAGAATGGGGAGAAAAAGAGGTAGTATTGTTACAGATGTGTTAGTGCAGTGGAAAGGCCTCCCAGATGATGAAGCTAGCTGGATCTCATTGTTTCAGTTACAGCAACAGCATCCATCATCCAAAATTGCAGACCCTTGAGGGTAAGTGTTCTTCTTGGGGAGGGGGTATTGATGTAAGAATTGTAAATAATAAAATAGTTACTTATAGACAATTAGGAGGGTACTATGACAATTCTAAATAAATAACTAGCCGTAGTAGTCTAGAGCCTATATAAGTGAGAGACATGCCATTACAAGGGCTATGCTCATTTCGAATAATTCAAGTATACCATTCAGAATACTCTCGTCTCTCCTTCTCTTTACTCTCTTCTATTCTCTCTTCTCCTTCCTCTTTCTTTCTACAACTGATTTATTGAATGGCCAAAGGAATGAGCTCCAACTCTTCAATGACAACAAAAGAGAAAATGTACAAAACAAGCTAATTTTCTATGGTTACAGCCAAAAATCACATAAATAAACACTCTGAAAACGAGAAAAATGAAGCCTCATGAACCAGGCTCCCTAACTTTCCAATGGTTAGGCTCTCTTAGATGCAAGACACACCCACACTTGTTCTAATGCAAACACATGATTTAGGGGAAAAGGATAGAAAGCAGAGGGGGGGGGGGGGGACAGAATAGATTTGAGGGGGAAATGAGAGAAACTGAGGGAGGAGGAAGAGATATCACAGGGCTTCAAAATATTCATTCATCAAAGTATATTAGTAGTGGAAGCTATTAAGCTTGTGTTAGAAGGAGCTTTCTTTCCAAAGAAGAAAGCTCATCAACTTGCCAAAAAAAAAAAAAAGAAGCAAACAACTGGCGAATAACAACTTGCAAACATATAATAAAATGAACCTGGTTGCTAAATACTTAATCGCTAAGGAAAGCCAACTTCCATAGAAATAATGGACTTTAAATTTCCTTCTAACATAGGCTTTCCCATATTCTATCACTCTTCTTGCCAAAACTGTAATTCATTCTTCCTACATCATTCTGCAACACAGCTCCCAAAACACAAACACACGCCTGCACTCCTCTATTTTTGGGACTGCAGCATTTCGCTTACATTGGGCCCCTTTTGACACTCGTCCTTCCTAAATCCTGTCCCTCTTTCTATTGTGTGAACCTGTCTCACTAATCCTCCAGGCCCGTCAGCCTTTTTTAAAAATTATTTTAATGTTGGCTATGACTAGTCCTCTAGTTTTGTTAATTTCGAACATTTTTTAGATCTTTGTCCTTATAAGAGTTATTAATCTTTTTACAGAAGTCTTTTTAGTTTATGAAGACTAAACCAACTATTTTTCTGATGGTTTCCTTTGTGAATTTTATCATGTTGCTTGCCTAATATTTGCTAGAATAGAGTTAATAAGATAGCATTGAGAATGTAGATCATTTCACCTTGGGCTTATTCAAGGGGTTGTTTTTTTCTTTGAGACAAGTATTCAAGGGGCTGTTAGATTTGCAAATATTAGTAATTTACATTTACATGGTTCCTTTTGACTGCAATGTTATCATGCAATCTCTGCTTTAATTCTTATGATTATTCCTGTATTGTGGTTTAACTCTGTGCTGGATTACCTTCCATTAATTATATTCCGATATACTTGTATGGTTATATTTGTGCATCTGTTATCCAAATGAAGTTATCTATCATTATGTGTCAACAGGGCTCCCATTGGTCAAGGATATGGCTTGACTGAAACATTCGCTGGAGCTACCTTCTCTGAGTTTGATGACAACAGTGTGGGACGTGTTGGTCCTCCTCTTCCTTGTTGCTACATTAAGGTGCAGCATATATCTCATTGTTGATGATGCTTTAATTTAGCATCAAAACGGTACTTATTTGTTGTGTTCCGGTTTGTAATCATGATAAAACGTATTTAATGCCAAGTTTAGTATTTTATACCATGTCAGAAATTTTTAAATTACTTATTTCTAAATTGTAATGGAAAATATAATCTGCTGCTCTTCAATGGGGAAATGATTGACTTCGTTCTTCATTCTGAATGTGTAGCTTGTTTCTTGGGAAGAAGGTGGATATATGACATCAGATAAACCAATGCCTCGGGGAGAGATTGTAGTCGGGGGATTTAGTGTGACAGCTGGCTACTTCAAGAATCCTGAAAAAACTAATGAGGTGTTCAAGGTAAACTTCATAACATAGGTTGCAAGTATGTCTCTTTGAGATTTGTCTTGGAATATTCTTGAATCTTATTAAAAGTACCTACGATTTATCTGGTACAGGTTGATGAGAAGGGTATACGTTGGTTTTATACTGGTGATATCGGAAGGTTCCATCCTGATGGGTGTCTTGAGATTATAGATAGGAAAAAGGATATTGTCAAACTTCAACACGGAGAATATATCTCTCTTGGGAAGGTGACTTTTAGCACATCATTTTTTATGAACTACTGACAGAAGGCTTATAGAAAATTAATCCGGATCTGTGTATGCTCTGTTCCAACTTTATTGCAGGTTGAGGCAGCACTGTCGACATGTAGTTATGTGGATAGTATTATGGTTTATGCAGATCCCTTCCATAATTATTGTGTGGCTCTCATTGTTCCTTCGCGTCATCCTTTGGAGAAATGGGCCCAGCAAGCTGGTGTTGCGCATGGGGATTTTCCTGATTTGTGCGATAAACCTGAAACTGTATCTGAGGTTCAGCAGTCCCTTTCCAAGGTTAGTAAATATGAATCAATGATTTGCAGGATGTACATGACATTTCTTAACTATGATTTTTGTAACCCCTTCAATTTTTTAAACCATAACTTCACAAGCTATCATAGTATAAAAGAATTAAGCCTAATACAAGAAATGTGTACCATGGTAAAAGAGAATTAAACCCAATAATAAGGGTCTACCATGGTAGAAAAGGAAACTCAATATGAAGTAACTAAATCTACCATGGTAGAAATGGACAAAGCCCAATAACCTGAACAACTACAAAACAACGTAACCTGAATTTGGGATCCAGAGTTAAAATCAACATGTTAAATCCAAGACACATTCTATGGTGAGTTAGGGCTTTGACCACAAAGCCCACAACCGGCAACCATCGTCATAAAACAACTTTCATAAATAGCCAGACTCAAATAACATTCCAAAAGAATCATAATCATTCATGATCATCATCCGAGGCATTTAAGCCATTACATCAAGTAATTTAAAAGCCAAATCCGTAGTAGTTTTTCATAGTAATTCATGGTTACTTAGAACATAATGTTCAAGGTCAAATCATGCACAAATGTGTCCAAATAGCTCTAAATGATAATGTACATCCTCCCAGCACACGAAAACGACAAAGAGGCCATTAAAAGGCAATTAATAAGCCTCAAGAGTCTTCCCTTGATGACCGCAACAACCCTTGCAGCTTCTCACATCTCATACTTCCACGATTTGCAAATCATATAATAAGACCTAGGAAAAGCTCAGAACAAAAGTATATTTCAATATACATCCCACTTCACTGAAAAGTTTGCACAAAATGCATAAACATAACTTTTCACAATAGAATGATCCATTCATGTCAAAATACAATGTACATATATATACATGCATGTGTACGTATATATAATATTTATATATAATTTTACATGTCAAAATACACTGGCAATCCCATTATCGACAAGCATACAAAGTAAATGAGCCATGGTTACTTCATGCCTTTGCTCAATTTAGCAAACTTGAGAGGACTTTGATGCCAACAACTCAATCTATAGTTAATCTACATCGTTCACAATGTTTCACATCAATTCAATTGCTAAACAAGAAGTTTACATTATAACTCAAAATCCCCAAGTTTTACTCCTAATACCAATTCCTTCTAACCAGTTCTGATCTTCAATCATTCCTAACTCAACTAGTCCATTAAAAACATTAATTGCCCATCAAATCTTCTGATTAATCAAAACCCCCAATTTCTCATCTTAGAAATATATCCACTTGTGAAGTTCCTTATCAAACTCCAAAACAATCCGATTAAACTTCAATAAACTTCAAACAAACTAAACTAAACCATTAAATCTCAATTCATTTGGTGAAAATTTCACAACTCTCTTCAACCCTAACCTTAAATTTTCAAAATCATGAGCTAATGTAAAACCAAATTGATTAAATACTAAAACTACTCTCATTAAGTCATTTAAATTCATTTTAGTCGGTGGAAACCTACCAAAATTCAAAAATCTACCCTAAACGTTGACTTATACACTTCCAAACCCGAAAAATCCAAGAACAAGAGATTGGAATCAAGGTATGGTCGCATACCCAAGTGATTGGAACCTTGAAGACCCTCCCTATAGTTTAAAAATTGAAGTCCTAGTATAGCCTCCGCATTTCTGCCCCTTTTCCTTCTATTTTTGAGATACTGCCTAATAACCCCGAAGAGGTTGCTGAGAGTTTTCTAGGGTTGCGTGCTTAGAAGAGGCAGGCAAGAAGCATGTGGTTGGTTTGAGAGAGCCTTGGACATCTCTAATCTCTAGGCAGTCCTTGTTTTTGCTATTTCTATTAGTTGTTGCTGTTACTTTCCACTTCCAGAACGAAAGCTGTCAATTGTCACATCTTCCTCTTGCTGACCTCATTGAAGGGGAGTTGTACTAGTTAATCCTACTTATTTGGCAATAATATTGCTTAGTTCTTTAAAATTTGGCATTAGACTAGGTGCTTTCTGGGGCATGGTGGGAACAAGAATGGAGTCAAGGGTGGAAAATATGGAAAAGGTGGTAGAACTACAGAGAGCTAGTGTCGAAGCAAGAGAAGAACGTGCTGCTGTAAAATGTGTAATGATAGAATATTACTATTCTTGTTTTGCTTTGGAGCCAAGCACAGCCACCCAAAAATGAAGGTGGTTAAGGAGCCCTGGGGGGGACCTGAAGGCAAGGAATGGAGGTTGTAAACCAAGGAATATGGGTGCAGGACGCAAAGACTAGACTATAAGGGAAGAAGGGATTGATGAAAAAGATGTTAAGAAATATCAAACCTAGTGGTGTCTCTTTTAGGTGTGGAAGATCCAACAGGGTGGAACTTTAGAATGGAGTGATACTTCATGATTTATGGCGTACTTGAGTTTGAGAAGCTGGATGAAGCAGTTGTAGGCTTGGAGGGGCAATCTACTAACTGGTTTCAATGGACAAAAGTCTGAGCTTCAATTGCAGATTGGAAGGTGTTTAAAACAGCTGTCGTTGAGTGATTCCATTTCAGTCAAAGTGGTGACAACTATGAGAGGATTGCCAAATTGAAACGAGTTGGGTTAGTGACAGAATTTAGAGAGAAATTTGAGTTATGGGTGCATGAAGTAGAGACTAGACTATAGGGGAAGAAGAAGGGATTGCTGAAAAAGATGTTCAGAAATATCAAAACTGTAGGCGCCTCTTTTTGGTGGGGAAGATCCAATAGGGTGGACCTTTAGGATGGTGTGATACTTCATGATTAATGGCGTACTTGAGTTTGAGAAGTTGGATGAAGCAGTTTCGGGCTTGGAGGGGCAATCTACTAACTGGTTTCAACGGACAGAAGTCTAAGCTTCAATTGCAGATTGGAAGGTGTTGAGAAAAGCTGTGATTGTGTGATTCTATTGCCGTCAAACTGGCGACAACTATGAGAGGATTGCTGGATTGAAGCAAGTTGGGTCAATGACAGAATTTAGAGAGAATTTTGAGTTATCGTCTACCACTCTTCCAGATATGCCTGAAGAATCGTTGATGGGGATATTTTTGAACGGGTTGAAGGATGAAGTAAAAGGTAATGTTTGGTTAATGGAACTTTGCAGCTTGAAGGAATTAATGGATGATGCATATCATGTGGAAGGGAGAAACACAACGTTGTAAAAAGTGGAAGAGAGGAAAGTTAGGGGTGTTAAGATGGGACCTTATCTAAAATGGCCCAGCACTAAACCTAATTCCAAAATTTGTGAGCCCATTAGAAGTCCCAAAACTTTCCCTCCTAACTTCTACAGCATGCATGGCGGACAGCGAGGAGAAGGAAGAGTCCTGCATTGCAAGATTCTTCTGGGGTTGGCTGACTGGGGCACTCTCTTTCCTCGGGATGCACATGATTGCCCCAAGGTACTGCATGGGAGACTTTAAGCGATCTGTAGCCTACAAACCCCAATCATGATTTTGAGCCTGCTATCATGTGGAATTTTTGGAGGGAAAAATTATTTCGTTTGTATTGTTGGACATTAATATACAAGGACTATATATATACACATTAGGAGAGAATAATGCCTAATAAGCAAGAGAATAAAGCCTTAAAGTCCAATGAATACTAATAAAGCCTATGCAATACTAACGGATATTCACAATAAATGCATAGTATTACCACATTCAAACATCGTTGCAGCATCATGAACTAGTCATCAACCCCAAGAAATGGAGTTTTGGGCAAAGAAAGCTAGAGTATCTCAGCCATATGGCTGACCCTTCAAAAATTGATGCCATGGTCAAGTGGCCAATTCCCAAGGATATTAAGGGCTTGAGAGGCTTGTGGGGCCTCTCTGTATACTATAGAAACTTTATCAAAGACTATGGGAAGATTGCAGCCCCCATCATTGAATTATTGAAGAAGAATGCTTTTCCATGGAGTGAGAAGCCCCAGAAGGCTTTTGAAACGTTGAAGTCAGCAACGGTGTCTGCTTCCATTTTGATCACTTCAGCTTTCCTTTGAGATAAAGGCTGACGATTGCAGAACTAGTGTTGGAGCGGTGTTGATGCAAACCGGAAGGCCCATAGCTTATTTTAGCCAACAACTCTCAGAGCAAGCGAGATAGCGGTCTGTTTATGAGAAATAACTAATTGCCTTGCTTCTTGTGGTGAAAGCAAGATTATTTGACTTCCAAGCTTTTTATCATACGAATTGAACAAAAGGCTCTCAAACACTTATTAGTAAAGATAATTATAGATCCTAACCAGAGAAGCTGGGTGCCAAAGCTGACAGGTTACAAGTTTGAAATAAAATATGAGCTGAGAAAGGAAAGTAGAGTTGCTGATGCTTTATCTTGAAGAGAGCCATGGCATAATTTTGAATGCCTTTTTTTTTTTTTTTTTAATGGCAATTTGAATGCCTTTTCACCGTGGCAATATGCTGATTTAAAAGAATTTTGAGGCTGAAATAGCTAACAATGAGAAATTAAATGATATTTGTGTGCGGATTCTCCTTGGGGGAGAAATTCCAGCCAGGTATTCAATAAAGAGTGGCTGTTTACTGTACCGAGACAAACTGGTTCTGCTAAAAAATTCTCCAAAAACTGCTGCATTAATTGAAGAATTTCATAACTGTCCTATTGGCGAACATTCGGGATACTACCTGCAGACCAACAAGAAAAAGTATTTTATTGGGAGGGAATGAAGAGGGATGTGCAGGAGCAAATATCCAAGTGCAAAACATGCCAGCGCAACAAATATGAAGCCCTTAGTCCTGCACTCTCAAATCCCATCTTGAGCAAGCCCAACTAAAGATGCAGCAGCAAGCTAGCAAAAAGAGGAGGAATGTGGAATTTACTGTTGGAGATCATGTTTATTTGTGCTTCTAGCCATGTAAGTCAAGAAATTTGGCTAAGCGTCAACACAAGAAGCTTGCACCTAGATATGATGGGCTTTATGTGGTCGGTCAAAGGATTGGGAAGGCTGCATACAAGCTGAAATTACCCGAAACAGCAAGGATTTGTCTGTTTTTCATGTATCACGATTAAAAAAATCAATTTCTCCCTGAACAAGCCCAGCCACTTCTCAGTTTCTTATCTAAGGATTATGAGCTGCGAATTCAACCTCAATATGTTGTCGAGGTGCATAAGATGACTGATGGGAGAATACAGATTCTAGTTAAGTGGTGTAACCTACTAGATCGTGAGAATACTTGGGAAGACATGATACTGTTCTGTTGCAATTTCCACACTTCCCCCTTGAGGACAAGGTAAATCTTGTGGAGGGGACAATGATGGATATGGAAGGAGAGGTTTATAGCAGGTGAAGGCCCAAACCTGACCAGAATACTCAGTTGCAGCAATTGGGCCCAGATGCACTTCCTACACAGCCCAATAACCCCAAAGAGGGTGCTGACATTCAGTTTTCTAGGGTTGCGTGTTTACAAGAGGCAGACAAGAAGCATGTGGATGGTTTGGTAGGGCCTCTGACCTCTAACGTCACGGATGTCTTTGTTCTTGCTATTTTTTATTTCCAGAACAGTAGCTAGGAATATCAGTCAATTTCGTCACATTTTCCTCTGACCTCATTGAGGGGGAGTTGTACTGGTCAGTTCTAGTTATTTGGCAATAATACAGCTGAGTTCTATGAGCCATCTACCTAACACTATAAAAGTAATTTCCTTCATGTTTTCTCTCTTCAAAAAACTTTTCCATGCTAATACACCATCGAGGTTATGGGATTAACGACTTTGCCGTTGCTACACTAGCGAATTCTAAGTTGTGTCACAGGGTGGGGTTTCATAGATGTAGTTAGAAAGTAGTGTTCTTCCGGACTCTGTAAAATGGAATTAACGACTTTGTATGGGCTGAATATGATAGATCACGAGTTCTTTCTCAGTCTCCCCCTCCTCCTCTTCTATCAAGTCGGAGTAAAGCCTGATTCTTCTCTCTTATTGTTCTTGATGGTGAGCCTGTTTGATGTGTGCCTCTGCTGTAACAGGCATTATTTCCATTTCAAGTGATGCGCCTTCAGCTTTGGAAATGACTGCTTAAATCCACTGAATTATTGACAATGTTTTTATGCTCGACATCTAATGGCTTATTTTCATTTTAATTCTTCTCAGGCCGCAAAAGCTGCCAAGCTGGGAAAAACTGAGATTCCTGCGAAGATTAAGTTACTGCCAGATCCATGGACGCCTGAATCTGGGTTAGTCACTGCAGCTCTCAAGATAAAGAGAGAACAGCTGAAAGCCAAATTCAAAGATGAACTTCAAAAGTTGTATTCCTGAATTCTTCTCTTTGGTGCATTATCTCTATTCACAATACTATGTTAACTTTTTGATTTTATTTCATAACTATATTTTGCACCCATGCGATGCACGGAGCATCCTTGGGAGAACGAAGAGCTTAATTTCACATAGTATCTATTTGTAACTATCGTTAAAACATGAAGACCGCATAGTCAAATGTATTATTAAATTACCATCACCAACAGTGGGATGTATTGCCGCACCATACATAAATAGTCGACAATACATAATATAGACCTATGACATTGTTGAAGCTTTCTTTGCTGACCACATTTGAAGTTTGTGCCAGTTGCATTCTCATAATAATCAAGAATTAAAATTTTAAACCCTGTGTGGTTGGATCAGCTAGTTGGGGCCGTTCCAGTTTAACCAAAGATAACGGGTTTGATCCCTTGGGCGCACAGCATCTTAGAGGCAACCCTAATGGTATCTGTCATGCCTCAATCTGAATTAATCTGGCTTGTAATTCTTGGAGGGGTTAGTTAGGATACTAAGTGCAAAGGCGGAAAAAAAAAATCAAGCCCTTTTTATTATAAACTCAGGAGATGGTAGCAGAAAGTTGATGATGAAATCAAGATGTGTCAAGTTTAAATTTATGCTACACAAGTTTTCACCCTAATAGCCATTGTAAAAGATAATGTTACAGGAAATTGCCTTCAAATAGGTCTTGGTGAAAGTCGAGGCATTCTATCATTTGCATTTGAAATCATTTGTGTGCCAATAATATGCTTTATTGGTTCCTTTAATAAATACACAACCATAATCACAGCCGGGAGAGTTCATAAAATATACACATTCATCTATCTAATGCTGTTTAAACATAATCATGAAGAATGACGTTGGCAGAAATTTAAATATTAAAGGATAAGATCATGTATATTTACAAGCAACCTAACCAAATAAATTCAATATAACTAAAATTCAAATAAGCATGATGTAATTGAATTATTGGTGAATAAACCCTAAATATAAATATGCCTCCAAATAGTGTTTGTTACTTTTTCTTTTCTTTTCCTTTTTTTGCTTTTTTGCTTTGCCATCCAAATAGCGTTGGTTACAAAAGCATACATTTTAGTTCCCATGTTTGCTTTAGGGATGTCAGGCTTCAGAGCAACAAAGAATGCTGAAATGAGACAGCCTTTAATCATTAGATATCTGTATATCTATAAAACCTAAGGAGTTCAAAGGTGATTTGGACTCGTGTGTATCTATAATTATAATTTGTCTACGTAATTATTTAAATGATGATTATGGAACTGTTTAAATGGTGCTTGATGGTGTTTAATTTTAAATCTGCACTAGCTAAAACAGGTAAAACAGTTCGAAATCTGTTTCCTATGACAAATTCCTTGAAAAAGGAGCTATTCACGATTCTTCATAAGAGGAGAAATCTCTTGCATATTTAAAGAGGCTAAACATATTCCAAAAGTCAATACATAAAACCAGCGTGGAGTTGTAACTGGTAAGACTGGACAATGGCTTTGAGTATCTTATTGCATACACCCTTGTTTTTCTACACTTTTCGACAATAAGTGAACTAAATATGCATAAAATTACAATTAGCGAAAGATGATTTCCCTAACCAATTCCCAGGCAAGCAAGAATGAAAATAGCTTGTACAAGGAAGATGGGTATAACATTGGAGAAAAGAATATAAACAATGCTTAAAGTGGCTATGATTCTATGATTTTTTCAGATCTTGAAAGAATATCGAAGAAAAGAATATTACAAATACTTAAAGAATATTACATCCATTAACAAAAGGTTTTCAGGCTAGAGGACAACATAAACCTGGCATCAGCTAACAACAGCAAGTAACATTTGAGTTATGTAAGTCCTCCTTTACTATTCTTTCTAGTTGAATCAGAATATATTATTTCGTAAAAAGATTTCTATAAGAAAATTAGGAACTCACACTAGAGTAAATGTTTAGACAGTAAAAGGCAAGTTATATAATTATCCATGACTGTACAGCATCAACCATCTGCTACCCAATGTAGGGCCAATTAAAGAAAATGTTTTATGGATTTATCAAAATAAATATTCATCAACTACATCCAGAAGTGAATATGCATATATGTATCTACTAATGTACATAAGTTGAGATAGAATATATATATATTTGTAGCTCTGTTGTGTGTTCTACTATCGATGTAAATTGTTAAAAGAGCAGAGTAGAGATGGATGTTAACTATAAAGCCATTAGATGAGGAAATTTCAACATCCTGATAAATTTACCTTTTTGGCTCGTTGATCTTCATATACAGATGGTATTGGTGACAAGAGTATTATATGATACATCTTGGAATCAATAGGGTTCGTATGTGTATTATATATATGACCCATGAGTCTCTATAAAAGAAATTAATCCAGAGCATCTACTAGTTGCTGGTCACTGTGCAACAAAAGTAGGCTTTTGTGATGCATAAGAAATCACCAAGTCCAGATAAATTTATAGACACACAACAAACTCCCCAATCTAATCCTTACACAAACTCCCCTTCTGATCCTTATAAACTCCCCTCTCCCCTCTCCCCTTGTAGCTCCTAATAGCTTGATTTCTGCTACTTGTTTATAATCGCGTCCGCTTTGATGGCTGCTGCTACCGCTGTTTATAGCATCTTAGGTAACGCATCATAGCTTCTTTAGTTGGAAGTATTGATACGCTTGTTTTAAAAGCTTCATCTTGCCCCATAAAAGCTGTAATTTCACCTAATGATCTTTCGGGTATGCCCAATCCCTCTAGGTTTTTTAGAATACGTTGGACTTCGCTTAGTAGTCGACATTCTTCAATCCTACTAAATAAACATAAAAAAAAAATTTGCCGGCATCTCTTACCTAATTTCCATATGATTTTATTAACCTCCTCCTCATTTTCCTGCAATCATAAAATTATAAAATGAAAGGGAAGAAACATAAAATGAGAGCCAACACAAACAACAAATATACATAACAAATATACTTACATCATGTCGTTTTCTGTGTATCCTTTCAAGTTTTTTAATTTTTCGTCGAGCATAAGATGGTAGAGCTATGGTGTTGATTTGCAAATGGATAGCCTCTTCGCCATTGTCTAATCTATTTTGAATTTGCCTCAAAATGTTCGTAAGAAATACGGCGACAATTATTGTTATGACTAATTCTCCTGCCGTACTAGACGATAATCTTTTGTTTGATCCCGATCGTGCCATATCACACTAAAAGAGAAAGGACTGGGCAAAGAGAGATGAAAGAGGGAAGGAGGCAAGTTAAAAAAGTTGAAAGTGGAGGAATGGAGACCTTAATATAATATATAACACACACACACACACCATGGAAGACTCTACGCACGTTCTTTACGTCCTCTTATGCTCCTGATAGTCTTTGCGTCCTCGCACACTCCAGATGAAGACCAAAATGGCTCTCCTAGTTGAAGACTAAAACTCACTTGCAAAACCAAATTTGTTGATGTCTAGATGAAGACCGAAACGACGCTCCTAGTTGAAGATTGAAACTCATACTTGTAAAACCAAATCGGTTGAAGTCCAGCTGAAGACCAAAACATTGAAAACCAAAACTCATACTGGTTAAAGACTGAATTTGTTGGAATTCCAATGCTCTGGCCGAGGCATGTTGTTAAATAGGGAAAAGATCTGAAACAAAAAATAAATAAATATTTCATGGGTAACTATACAACATCAGGCATCTGCTACCCAACGTAGGGCAAACTAAACAAAATGTTTTATGGATTTATCAGAACAAATATTCATCAACTACGTCCGAAAGTGAATATGTATATACGTATTTACTTATGTGTATAAGTTGAGATAGAATATGTATATTTGTAGTTCTATTGTGTGTTCTACTATCGATGTGAATTGTTAGAAGAGCAAAGTCGAGATAGGTGTTAACTATAAAGCCATTTGATGAGGAGATTTCAACACCCTGATAAATTTACCTTTTTGACCCGTTGATCTTCATATACAGATGGTGTTGGTGACGTGAGTATTGTACGATACATCTTGGAATCAACAGGGTTCATATGTGTATTATATATATGACCCATGAGTCTCTGCAAAAGAAACTAATCCAAAATATCTGCTAGTTGTTGGTCACCGTTCAACAAAAGCAGGCTTTTGTGATGCACAAGAAATCACCAAGTCCAGATAAATTTATAGATACACAACAAACTCCCCAATCTAATCCTTATACAAACCCCCTTCTGATCCTTATAAACTCCCCTCTCCCCTCTCCCTTATCCCCTTATAGCCCCTGGTAACTTGATTTCTGCTGCTTGTTTATAATCGCGTCCGCTTTGATGGCTGCTGCTGCCATGGCTTATAGCATCTTAGGTAACTCATCACAGTTCCTGTAGTTGGAAGTATTGATACACTTTTTTAAAAAGCTTCATCTTGCCCCATAAAAGCTGTAATTTCACCTAAGGATCTTCTGGGTATGCCTAGTCCCTCTAGCTTTTTTCTAATATGTTGGTCTTCATATGCTAGTTGACGTTCTTCAATCCTACTAAATAAACATAAAAAAATTTCCCACCATCTCTAACCTAATTTTCGTATTTTATTAACCTCCTCCTCGTTTTCCTGCAATCATAAAATTATAAAATGAAAGGGAAGAAATATAAAATGAGAGCCAACATAGATAACAAATATACTTACATCGTGTCATTTTCTGTATATCCTTTCAAGTTTTTTAATTTTTCGTCGAGCATAATATGGTAGAGCTGTGGTGTTGATTTGCAAATGGATAGCCTCGTAATCAAGGATGTTTTCTTTGCCATTGTCTAATCTATTTTGAATCTGCCTTAAAATATCAGTAAGAAATTAGGCGACGGTTATTGTTATGACTGAATCTCTTGCCGTACTCGACGATAACCTTTTGTTTGATCCCGATCTTGCCATATCACACTAAAAGAGGAAGGACTGGGGGGAGGGAGATGAAAGAGGCAGGAGGCAAGTTAAAAAAGTTGAAAGTGGAGGCATGGAGACCTTAATATAATATATAATATATATACACACACCACGGAAGACTCTGCGCATATTTTTTGCATCCTCCAGTGCTCCTGATAGTCTTTGTGTCCTCGTGCACTCTAGATGAAGACCAAAATGGCGCTCTTGGTTGAAGACCGAAACTCACTTATAAACCCAAATCTGTTGAAGTCTAGATGAGGACCAAAACAGCACT